GATCATAGGGCTGCCAGGCATGGTGGCGCACACCTTTAATCCCAGCACTTGGGAGGCAGAGGCAGGTGGATTTCTGTGAGTTCGAGGCCAGCCTGGTTTACATAGTTCCAGGCCAGCTGGGACTACAGGGAGACCCTGTCTCAAAAAAAAAAAAAAAAAAAAATCATAGGAAAGACAGGTGTAGTGATGTGCTGGTTATTCCAGCACCTGGAGAGTTCAGGCCAGCCTAGGTTACACAGCAAAACTCTGCCAGAAAAAAAACAAAAAAGTCTGGCAACATAGCTCAGTTGGTAAGGTGCCCGTCTAGCATGTGCAAAGCCCTGGGTTCAATCCCCAGTGCATGAACTGGGTGTGATGATTCATGTCTGTAATTCCAGCATTTGGGAGGTGAAGGTAGGAGTTCAACGTCAGCCTGGGATGCATGAGAGACACTGTTTTGTTTTGTTTTTGTTCAAGTGCCAGGAACATGTCCCTTCTCTGGGTATGGTTGGGATGCTTATTTTGAAAGGAGGCAACTGAGGCACAGATTTGGTTATTGAGTCCTGCACCGAGTGAGTGGTGAGGCAAGGCTACACCACTTCGCGCCCAAAATAGCCAATTATTCTAATTACCAACCGCCGATTGGGGCCAGGCCCTGAACTGACTTGAGTCATCTAGCTCCATCCCGGGATAGACCGTCCAGGAATGCACGATCACACCCCCCCCCCCCACTTCACCCAGCGAGGCCTCGGCCCGCGCCTCCTCCCCGGCGCGCGACGCTCACCACCCGTCCCGGTTCCAGGTGCGGAGCCCACAGCTCCTTCACCATCTCCGTGTGCAGAAACTCGAACAGCACCGTGTCCGCCATGCTCCGCCTCTCACCCCGCTCTCATTGGTAACCTCCGGAAGCTCAGCCTACACGTCGCTGCGCGTGCCCGCCTCGTCCTCCAATCTGATTGGTGATCTACACGGCCCACGCCCTTGCTCCCCGGGCACACGCGATGCGCGCGTGAGCCTGGGAAACAAGGAGCGGACCCACCGCCCTTCTCATTGGCTAGCACGATAACGGCTTCCGCCCTCACTGCTCTCTGCCCTCACAGCGTCCGGGTCCTAGAACATTCCTATTGGCGGAATCTCTGATCACGTGACAATTCGAGGTTAGGAAAAAAAAAAAAGTCCATTTATCCCCTGCAGACTTTCCCCAAGGCACAACAATGAAGAGACTTGCTTAATTGTTTCTCTATTGGCCGTACCTGGCCTCACGTGACTCTACGGTGCTAATAATTTGCTTTCTAATTGGTCTCCAGCAACCAACTCGCCAACGCCTCCCCAATCCACTTTCCTATTGGCTGGAATGGCAGCCTTCCCCTTCCCGCGGTGAAGCCGGCTTACTTCTACCAGGCAGCGCATCCCAGAGCTTCGTAGACCAGGTAAGGCCTTCGGAAGTCTGCAGCCGCTGGTCTCCGTGTTAGTGCTTCCTGCTTCCCTGTTAGTGCTCCCTCGTCTCCTCTTAGTGTTCTCTGTTTCCCCGGTAGTGCACCTCGGTCGTGCGTTTGTGCTCCCTGGTCTCCTGGTAGTGCTCCCTGCGTACCCGGTAGTGTTTTTCAGTCCCGTATTAGTGCTTCCTGGTCACCCCGTTAGTGCTCCCTGTTTCCCCAGTAGTGCCCCTTTGGTCTCGCGTTAGCGCTCCCTGGTTGCCTGGCAGTGCTCTGATCCCTCAGTAATGCTCCCTGCTCCCCCGTTAATTCTCCCTGTTCCCCCATTAGTGCTCCCTGCTCCCTCATTAGTGCTCCCTGCACCCCCATTAGTACTTCCTTGGAAGGTTGTCCTTTCTCAGTGTGCCCTGACCCCTAAGCGGCCTGTGCTCGGCGTGGTCTCTGCTAGGACAGTCTAGAAACCCTTGTTCCGAAGCTTTTCAAAAATTATTTTATTGCCGGGCGCGGTGGCGCACGCCTTTAATCCCAGCTCTTGGGAGGCAGAGGCAGGCGGATCTCTGTGAGTTCAAGGCCAGCCTGGTCTACATAGTGAGTTCCAGAACATCTGGGGCTGCAGGGAGACCCTGTCTCAAAAAGACCAAAAAAAAAAATTATTTTATTTTGACTGGGAAGAAAGGGGAGAGTTGCCATCTTGGCGATCCTGGCATGCAGACAGCTGGCAGGTGGCAGATCTCAAAGCTTAGTTGAGATGTAAAAACAGGGCCCACAGGCAATCATGCCTTTATAAGTAACCCTTTCTCAGAGGTCATAAACCAGACAACCCCCTTCCCCCAAAATTTATTTTATTTTATTGTTTTAGCCGGGCGTGGTAGCATACGCCTTTAATTCCCGCACTCAGGAGACAGAGGCAAGTGCATCTCTATGAGTGCAAGGCCAGCCTGGTCTACATAGTGAGTTCCAGGCTAGCTGGGGCTACAAGGAGACCCCCACAGTTTGTGTGGAGGTCAGAGGACAACTTGTGGGAGTCTCTTCCCTCCTTCCACTATATGGGTCCTGGGAACCGAACTCAGATCGTCGGGCTACCTGCTGAGCCCTCTCGTCAGCTCTAGTTCTAAAGCTTTGATGGAGCTGGTGGTCCTGTTTCTCCTGTATGCACACTGATGATACTGGGGTGCAGAATTCCAAGTTATCACAATGTGCACCAGAGGAAACTGAGGCCAGGACTGGCTAGGAGGATCTGGGGGGACTGGGGCTCCCGGGCCTGCACCCTCACATCTGGCTCTTCTCCACCTCCTAGCCATGGCATCCCAGGATCGTCGTCGTCGTCGGAGGCCAGGGACGGTGGTACCTGGGGAGGCCACCGAGACAGACTCGGATCTGTCTGCATCGTCGTCTGAGGAGGAGCTGTACCTGGGCCCCTCCGGGCCCACTCGCGGCCGTCCTATGGGGCTGCGTGTGGCCGGGGAGGCCACGGAGACTGACTCGGAGCCAGAGCCAGAGCCCATGGCGGCACCTGGGGACCTGCCCCCGCTGGTGGTGCAGCGCGAAGCTGCGGAGACATGGGGCGCAGAGGAGGCCCCAGCCATGACCCCTGCGCGCTCGCTGCTGCAGCTCCGGCTGGCGGAGAGCCAGGCGAGGCTGGACCAGGATGTAGCAGCGGTGGTGAGCGGTGTATACCGCCGTGCGGGGCGTGATGTGGCCGCCCTGGCCGGGAGGCTGGCAGCTGCCCAAGCTATGGGGTTGGCGGCAGCCCACAGTGTGCGCCTGGCACGTGGGGACCTCTGTGCTCTCGCAGAGCGACTGGACATTGTGGCTGGCTGTCGCCTGCTGCCGGACATCCGAGGTGTGCCGGGCACTGAGCCTGGTCAGGATCCGGGACAGAGGGCCTGAGTTGACAGCCTATGTCCCTCAGACTCTGTCTCATGGTGGTCATCCTTGCCACCTGTTGGACCTGGGTCTGTCTTTTGTTACCTCCCCCCTGCAATCTTGCTGGATAGTGACCTGGTTTCTCTCCTTAGTCTGGACCCTGCTACTGGCCTGGTCCCAGCCCTCAAGAAAGTAGCTGCTCTTGGGTCTTTATCCACCTGAGTTCCACTGTACCCCACCATTCCCAGCATCTCTTCTCTGCCTTTGGTTTCAGCACAGGAGCCTTGAGTCTTAGCATCTTTGCTGTCTTGGCCTGATTTCACTCTTAGCAGTTTCTGGGACTTCCTCTACCACCGAACTCCCACAAGGCTCTGCCCAGATTTTATGGACATCAAGTTGTCAGACAGCTTCTCCTAGCTCCTCCTCGTCCATCCCTGGGCTTAAGTCCCATCCTCTCACCCTGGTCCTGTTTCCTGCATTTGGCTCCACTGCTAGTTTTGGCTTCCTTTTGGGGGTGGGGGCATACCTTGGCCTAGGATCTGGGGATTCCTTATGACTCTTCACGCTCAAAATGTTGCCCCCTCCTCACCCAAGGACTTGAATCTTCTCCACACCCTGGAGGTCAATGTGGCCAGGTACAGGAACAGGTCTTGTTCCCTCTGACACCCATCAGGGGCTTGAGCCCAGCACAGCGACCCTTGGTGTTTTGAGTGCTGTAGGACATGACTCCACAAATACAAACCTACCAGGCATTTACTGTGTTGGTTTCTGGAAGCCAAAAGGGCTTGGATTTCTGACCCTGCCCAGGGTTGAGGATAACAGCTTCATTTTTATTCCTTTCTGCTGCTTTTTGTTTTGATCCTGGCTCTAGCCTCTCCTCCCTATTCACATTTATTCCCCTCCCCCATCCGTACCTTAACCCATTTGTAAGCTGAGTCCCAGGATGGGTGGGAGAGTTCTATGACTGATTAAAACACAAGGCATTTCTCCATGTGGTCCCTTCCGCTGTCTCCCCACCTGAGCTGAAGTTGGTAGGGTAGTAATTTCTCCAAGAAGGGCCCCAAGATGTTTATGCTTAGCCTGTTCACGTTAAAGCTGGGGTCTGGAAGAGATGACTAAATGGTTAGGAGCACTTGCTGCTCTTTTGCACGACCCATACCTAACACACAGGTTGCCTGTAACTCTGGCTTCAGAGGATCTGACTCCCTCTTCTGGACTCTGAGGGCACCTGCACTCATGTGCACAGACAGACATACACATAACACAAAATTTTTAAAAGGGGGAGCTGAATAGTTGGCTCAGTGGTTAAGAGCACTGGCTGTTCTTGCAGAGGACCTGGGTTTGGTTCCCAGCACCCACATGGTGCTAGCAATCCTCTGTAACTCCAGTTCCAGGAGATTGGACAATTTCAGGCACCAGGCACATATGTGGTGCATGTACATACATACTGGCAAACACACACATAAAAATCTTGCTTAAAAATCTAAAATAAATAAATCTTAAGGTGAGCCAGGCATGGTGGTGCACACTTTAATTCCAGAACTCAGGGAGCAGATACAGACAAATCTCTGTGAGTTCAAGGCCCACCTGGTCTACACAGTAAATTCCAGGCCAGCTGGGGCTACAGGGAAACCCTGTCTCAAAAAGACCAAAAAAAAAAAAGAGATAAGATGAAGCTGTTAGAAAATCAGGGCCCTTCATCTTTGCTGTGATTAATGCACTTACTTTTTTTTTATTAAATCACACTTCTTTGGTGGTTTTTGGTATTTTGAGATAGCTATAGCCCCAGCTGACCTGGAGCTTGCTGTGTAGACTACCAGGCTGGCATTACTCTCACAGAGATCCACCTGCCTCTGCCTACTGAGTGTTGGGATTAAAGGGTTGTGCATCTATGCCCAATTCAACACACTTTGGGGGCGGTATCTGCCCTGGGGGTACAACAGCAGTCCCTGCCTTCACATGATCCAATAGAGGAGACTGATACTAATAAAATCTATAGAATGGGTTATTTTTTGCCTTTGTGTGTGATGGGCTCCAGGTGGACTGATCATGGGAGGAGGTGTTCATATGGCTTTTCTTGGGGAATTGAGGTGATCTAATGTGGAAATGGGCTGAGGAGGAGCTGCAGGGACCAGGTGACAACATACACAAAGGCCCTGGGACACAGGGGGACATAATTCATAGCTAACTTTGCATTTCTTTGACAAAACACCAAAGATAATCAATTTATAAAGAGGAAAGGTTTAAACTGGTGAGATCGCTCAACTGTAATCCCAGCACTCAGGAGGCAGAGGCAGGTGGATATCTCTGAGTTTGAGGCCAGCCTGGTCTACATGGTGAGTTCCAGACCAGCCAGGGCTACATAGTAAGACCCTGTCTCAAAAAAAAAAAAAAAAAAAACCTTTTGTTTTGTCTCATGGTTTGAGAGGTTTTGGTCCATTGCTGCTTGGCCCTTTTGCCTTTGACCTTGTAATGCAGACTATTGTGGTGTCAGATGCATAGTGAAGGAAACTGTTCACCTCTGGGCAGCAGGAAGAAAGGAAGAGGGTGGCAAGTGTCCCAGCACCTCCTGCAAAGGCAAATCCCCAGCAACCTAACTCCCGTCCAGTAGGCCCCATTCCTAGCACTGCAGGCTGGGGACCAAGCCTTTAACACTGCACTTAGGAGACATTCAAGTCAACTCAGTGGTTAAGAGCACTGGCTGTTTTTGCAGAGGGCCCGGGTTTGGGTCCCAGCACCCACATGGCAGCTAACAACCATTCATAACTCCAGTACCAGGGGGTCTGACACCCTCTTCTGGCCTCTGAGGGCATTGCATGATACAGGTGCACTTCCATGCATTCAGACTGTACACTAACATCATTTGAAGTTCTTGACTAGTACAATGAGACAAGGAAAAGGTGTAATCAGAGCACAGATCAGAAAGGGGTAGCAAGTGCATGCCTAGATAACATAATCAGATCCACAGACAACCCCGAGAAATCTAAAAACAGCAAGACCTACATTTCAGTTTACTTAGATAAAAAGCCCCCACTTGTATCCTACATTTATTCCCCCTGAAATTCTGTCAGCTCTTCTTCAAAACACACCCCACATCTGAGCAGAGCTGTCACATGTATGCTGTTGAGCACCTCACCCTGAATCTCCAGTCTCTGGCTTGGAATGCTCAAGAGCCTCCTTTTGATCTCCGTCTCCAGCTGTACTCTCTAGGGTGTGACTGCCCCTCTGCTCAGAACTTCCCCTAACCTGACAGTCTCTGCAGTAACCTTCAGGGTTCCCATACTCCTCCCTGAGGAGGCATCTGTACTCCCATCTTCTGCCACCTGCCACCACCCAAGCCACAGTGGCCACCTTCCTACTTCCCCAACAAACAATGCTCCTGACCACAGGAACTTTGCACCAACAGAGAGAGTGAGAGCGAGAGAGAGCAAGAGCGAGAGAGAGAGAGAGGAGAGAATGAGAATGAATTACTCTGTGTATCCCTGGCTAGCCTGGAACTTGCTACATAAACCAGGCTGGAGTCAAACTCAGAAATCCACCAGCCTCTGCCTCCCAGGTGTTGGGCTTGGAGATGTGTGGGATGTAACAAAATGGCGCTAGCACATGCGCAGTCAGACTGATTAAGCTCTTGGAACCTGATCTTTGCCAAAACACCTGGCAACAGCTGAGGCTGCTATAAGAGCCAGTCACGAATGGCCACATTATCAGGAAATGCAGAGGGACCAATGACAAACTATATAAGCCCAAGTCCTTCCTGTAATAAACGAGTCTGCAGCACCTGCCTAGTGACTGCTTCCCCCTGACTCCCGGTGCCTGTGTGTTGACTTCGTGCCGCTCACCCCCTCCCGGCAGGGACCCTGAGTCTCCCCTAGGCTAGAACTGCAGGGAGATTGCAACATCTGGCACCTGAACAGGGACCCTCAGCACCCTTGACATTGGCGACGCCCCCAAGTTCAGTGAGTAGGCCCCGGGTTTTGTCTGTACCTTCAGCTGCTTGAGGGTGAGCGAGTGGCCCCCTCCTCTGACCCCTCTACCCTGTTTCTCATATTTGTTGTTAGATCAGGAAGGCACACTCCACTGTGTGGTCCTGAAGCCCACATTGGCCCCTTTCACTCTTTGGCTCATCCCAGTGAGTTCACATAAGGATTGATCCACCCCAAACTCAGAGCCCAGGCCTTAGACGATCCTGTTGCCTGTCCCAGAGACACCGTGTGAGCATACGGCCGAGGGTTTCACGACCCTCAGAAGTCACTAGATCCGATACACCTTTTCATGTCAGGGCAGATCACGTCAGAGTGCCTCATGGTCCTCATCTGCTCTGTCTGTGCCCTTTTAGTGGTTACCCTTGCCTTCTACTTCTGTGGCGAGAATCCCTTCACCAAGCTCTCCCACAATGGACAATCTTCCAACGTGATGCAAAGAGCCATAAACAGCAGTGCTCAAGGTGCTCTTAAAGACTAGATCCAGCCCTAGTGGGAATAGTTACATGGGGAATCATAGGAATGGTGGGGATATTAATTATACTCCTTTCTAGATGTCTCTTAAAGTATACCCAATCACAAAAACAAATTAACAAAGCTACCCTTCAAGTTCTCCAGGCTATTTTCTATGATGGAGCAAGACCTGGACCTCCTCCACAAATGTTGCATGTCTGGCTGTCATCTATCCGAGATTCGATAGTCTGACCCCTACCACCTTTAGCTAACGCTCCCTGATTTATCCCCTCTGTGGCTGGTTAGTCAGTGACGGATAAGATCCTGCTAATCAGGACAACCTAAGACAGGCACAGTCAAATGTTGGGACACCAGAGGTGAGGCCAACAATGTCTGGGCTATAGAACCCGGGCTCTCACTGTGTTAAGCTCTGCATTTAAAAACAAAAAGGGTGGAAATGTGGGATGTGACAAAATGGCACTAGCACATGCGCAGTCAGACCGATTAAGGTCTTGGAACCTGATCTTTGCCAAAACACCTGGCAATAGCCGAGGTCGCTAGAAGAGCCAATCACAAATGGCTACGTTATTGGGAGCTGCAGAGGGACCAATGAGGGAGACAAATAAACTATATAAGCCCAAGTCCTTCCTGTAATAAACGAACCTGCAGCACCTCGCCTAGTGACTGCTTCCACCCGACTCCTGGTGTCTGTGTGTTGACCTCACACCACTCACCCCCTCTGGGCTGGGACCCTGAGTCTCCCTTAGGCTGGACCTTCAGGGAGACTACAACAGAGATATGTGCCACCATCCCCACTTTTACTGACTTTACCTTTTCCCTGGAAACCCCTGCTGTTAGTCACTTGCATGGTTTCCTTTCTGACATCAGGACTTTCTTCAACCTCACCTTCTCTACGAGGATTCTCTGTCTGGAGAGATGGCTCTGCAACTAAGCACTTGCAGAGGACCCAGGTTCAGTTTTCAGCACCCACATGGTAGCTAACAACCATCAGTAACTCCAGTTTCAGCAGATCTGATGCCCCCTTCTGGCCTCTGTGGGCAGTGCACTTACATACATGCAGGTAAAACACTCAAACACAGTTTTTTTGAAAAATCACACCAGGCTAGCCAGGTGTGGTGGCGCATGCCTTTAATCCCAGCACTGGGGAGGCAGAGACAGGTGGATCTCTGAGATCAAGGCCAGCTGGTTCCACATAGTGACTGAGACCAGGGAGACCCTATCAAAAAACAAACAACAAAGAAAATCTATGAGGATTTTCTGTTCACATTGTATAGAAAATGGAACTTGAAGAGTGGATTTGTAGCTTGCTAGTGGTATTGCATCAGAGACACATTGGGTTCAGTCCCTAGCACTACTGTACCCAGAAAGGAAAGAAAAACCTAGCTGGAGTCCACATCTCTTTTCCTGATTTTTCCCTTAACCCTGACCACAAGCTGACATAGACATACTTTTTTTTTTTGTATTTTTGAGGCAGGGTCTCCCTGTGGCCCCAGCTGGCCTGGAACTCACTATGGAGACCAGGATAGCCTTTAG